TATATATATATATATATATATATATTACATTCAATGAAGAAACCAGAAAGGAAGTACTGTGGCATCAGCGCCACATTATCGGAGAGATGCAAGACTGCGGGAGCTGACGCGTGGCGACCCCCGGCTTCTCACTAGAGGAGGCACGCGACACGGGAGATACCGCAGTCACCAACTGCGTCACGGTCTCTATCGCACCGCACAGCCGCGCGTAAGCCTCTTCACCTATCGGCGTGATCACCTTCTTCTTTCCATTGATGCCGCTGCTGCTTCTTCGGGGCGGTGAGGCAGGGGAGCGCCGTAACAAATGCGGCTGTTCTGTTGCAGCGGGGTCTCGATGTCGTTGCCACTGTTCATCACGCAAGAACACTTTGACTGCCCTCTGTAATATCATACGTTCCTCAGGATATTCCTCCAGACTTCGCCACAGCTCCTTCGAGACCGTACTTGCATCACCGAAGTGCATGTCGTCATGCATATCATGTAGGTGCGTCGCGAGATCATTCAGTTTCTTTATTTCCTCGCCAAACGCAGCACGACACTTCTGCAGGGACTCCCGTACCGCTACCTCGAGCCGAAGCAGCGATTGTTGACGTCGGCTTCGCTCCGCCAACATCTGCGCGGTGTGGGCCCGAGCGGCCCTTTGCCGTGCCTCTTGCATCTCCACCCACTGTTGGTCCAGCAGCTCCCGACCCCATGTTGTCCGCATTGTGGAGGACTTCTGCTCACGCCCGGACACCTTAGTCGCGCTGTGGGACTCCTCGCGCCGTCGCGCTGCTGCTGCTGCCCGGCGCAACTCATGCACAGCAAATGTCGTCACTTGCCTCCGCTTATCGCGCAGCTCCTGGTTCATGCGCCGCATGTTGTTGGTACGCAGGCGCCGGATATGCCGCACCTTTGCGTCGTCGCCGCCCTCCCACCTTCTGCTTCTGCCGCAGTTCCTGTTTCTGCCTTTATGACCAGCAGCTAACGCAGTGGCCTCCAGAGAGTCCATCTCGTCCGCCGCAACGTCACCCTCGTGTTGGCCGTGGACGATAGGCCTCAGCTTGCACGGCAACTCAGTAGGTAGAAGCTGCTGCATCTGCAGGACCGCAGCGAGGGCATTCGCGTCCTGATGCAGCGCGAACAGCGAGTGGTGCACAATGGCAAGAAATCCGTTGTGATACGACCGGATGAGGTCGAGGCGGGCCACGCACTCCCCCTCTCTCAGTGCATTAGCAGCTTCCACGGCGTGTTGGTGACGCAGCACGAGTCTTTGTGGGCTTAGCTGCAAGCTAATGTCGTTTTCGTCACGCTTCACCGGTACATCAGCCACTTCTTGCTCTTCTGCTGTTGCGGCCTGTGGTGGTGGTTTCTCTGCATCACCCCTTTCAGTTGGCATTGAAGCCCCGTGGCAGAGGGCGGCTTGTAAAAGTGTGTCGGTGTGCACCCGCTGCTCCACAAGAGCACTCCTACACCGAGAAGAGGAAAGAAAAAAGAACGTTTGCCAGCACTCGAGGGGCCAACAGCATAGACACGACCACATTCTACGCAACACAGATACGAAAACACTGCACATATGTAAATCTTATTAAGGGACCTAACAAGCCAGCGGACCCTCTCTTCATCCACAAGGCGATAAAGAAGGTGATGGCGTCTACTGGTTGTTCTCTTTCTCACTGACTTATCGCGATGAATGCTTTCAATTCTTTGACTCAAAAAAAAAGTGTTTAGGTGTTCTGTGCACCTTGGACAGCAAAGAAAAAAAGGAGGATGAGAAACGGCGCATCAAAGCGCGCCCTTCATTTTCGCCGTCTCCGCCAGCGCCTTCTCAATGGCTGCGTCAACGTCGGCAGCAGCAAGGCCTGATTGTGCAGCGTGCGGCTTGCCGCCACCCTTTCCGATCGCCGCCTTTGCCCAGTCCACCGCGCTCAGCTTCTTCGCGGTGAATGCCTTCGGTAGTACCGCCAGCGCCAGCGCCTTGCTTGCGTCGGCGCCGACAAGGAAGACACCAACGTCGCCCTGCACGGCCCTGGTGAAGCCGTCGGCGTACGCCTGAAGAGCCTCGCGGTCGGCACCAAAATCGTCAAGGCGCCGCACGAGGAACGGGTTGGCTGCCGCATCGTACCCCTCGGCGGCTGCGCCACCGGCGGCGGTGGCCTTCTCCTTCGTCTGCGCAGCCATCGCCTTGAGGGTAGCAAGCGCCGATTTGATGCTCACGTCGATCTCCTCCCGCAGCTTGTTCTTCGCCGTCAGAGGTATTGCGCTGTCGCCAACCTTCTTGTTCAGCACCGAAAGGCTCTTCGAAGTCGCCTCTGTGACCGGTCCATCGACGATGGTGCGGTATTCCTGCTGCAGCGCCTCGCCTTCGGCGCGTGCCTTACGGGCAACGTCACGCGTCGCCACGACAAGGCGGCGCACGCCCTTCATGAGCGCCTCCTCCGAGAGAATGACGGCGGTCTCTGCCTCCTTGAGGTTCGACAGGTGCGTGCCACCGCAGAACTCAATAGCGTGTGCACGCCACTTGGTGTTTTCGGGATTCGCAATAAGGTCTTCAATGGGTGCGCCGACGGAAATGACACTCACAGGGTCCGGGTATTTTTCGCCGAACATCTGCCGCAGACCGCTAATGCGCTTCGCCGTCTCGAGCGGCACCTCCTTGCGGTACACCACTGGTGCCTGCTGGATTTTTTCGTTGAGGGCTGCCTCAATCTTGATGAGGTCCTCCTGGCTTACCTTACCATTGTAGCTAAAGTCAAAGCGCAGCATCTCATCCGTGACAAGTGAACCCTTTTGCTGTACCTCCACGTAGTTGTCTGAGGCCTCCTCCTCGAGCACGCGGCGCAGGCACCAGTTAAGGACGTGTGTGGAGGTGTGGTTCGCCGCAATGGGCAGACGCCGTTTGTAGTCAACCTGCAGCTCCACCGCTGCAGAGACAGGGATGGGCACACCGGCACCCTTCGTTGCGATCAAGTTACCCACGTGCACGACGTAGCCGCCGATATTGTAAACCCTTTTCACGTTAAACATGGCGTCGGAGGCTGCCACGATACGCCCCATGTCGTAAATCTGTCCGCCAGACTCTGCGTAGAAGTTCGTGACATCCAGCACAATACCGATGTCCTCCTCACCACTCTGGCCAGGCAGCAGCACGTCTACGAACTCACCGCGCTTCTTGTCAAAGATCGCCTTCACCTCTGCGGTGTGGTTCTCCCACGTGTACTTGGCGGTGTCATCGGTGGCAGCGATTCCCTTCGCCTTCAATTCCTCCAGCTGGTGCACGTTGAGGAACGTCTTTGCGGCAGCCACGCGGCCTCCGCTCAGCTGATTTGCCTTCATCGTCGCATGGAAACCTTCCATATCAACCTGCATCTTCGCTTTCTCCGCCAGCAGGCATGTGAGGTCAACAGGGAAGCCGTAGCGGTCGTGCAGAATGAAAGCGTTTTCACCACTAATGGTGTTCTTGACTGCCTCCGAGACGGCCTTGTTGAAGTGCTTCAGTCCTGTCTCCCATGTCTTTGCAAAGGACGTCTCTTCGTCGGCGAGCACAGCCTTAATACGCTGCAAGGTGCGTGGCTCCTGCAGGTGCGTGAAGAAAGGTCCCAGCGACGCCACAACAGCGTCAACGAGCTGGCTGAAGAAGCCCACTTTAGCGCCGAGGAATTGCACACCGTAGCGCACCGCACGGCGAATGATGCGACGCAGAACGAAGCCACGGCCCACGGAGTCAGGCATTGCGCCGTCAGCAAGTGCGACAGTGAGGCAGCGGATGTGGTCTGCCACCACGCGGTAGGCCACTGTCGCGTCGCACTCTGCGTTGTCACGCACTGCCGCGTATGATTCCGGGTACTTTGTCACGCTCTGAATGGCGTCAAAGAGCGGCATCCACGCGTCGGTGTCGTAGTTCGAGTGCACTCCCTGTAGAATGGAGGCGAGCCGCTCAAGACCCATGCCAGTGTCAACGTGCACCTTTGGCAGCGGCACCAGCACGCCGCCCTCACGGCGCTCAAACTGCATGAACACAAGGTTCCATATCTCAATGACCATCGGGTCATCCTTGTTCACCAAAGAAGCAGCGTTTCGACCGCCGATGCGGTCGTAGTGCACCTCCGAGCAAGGCCCACATGGTCCCACGTCGCCCATCTCCCAGAAGTTGTCCTTCGTGTTACCGGGTATGACCTGCGCAGCTGGCACAAGCTCCAACCACAACTGCTTCGCCTCCTCGTCAGCGGCGATGCCGTTGGTGGGGTCGCCCCCGAAGTATGTCACGTAGAGGCGGTCTTTGGGCAACTTGTACACCTCAGTCAGCAGTCCCCATGCCCAGCGTATCGCGTCGCGTTTGAAGTAATCGCCGAACGACCAGGAGCCAAGCATCTCGAAAAAGGTGTGGTGGTATGTGTCACGGCCAACGTCCTCAAGGTCGTTGTGCTTGCCGCCGGCACGAATGCAGAGCTGCGAGTTTACCGCGCGCGTGAGGCGTCCAAAATCGGTGTTGGGGTCTGCGGTGCCGAGAAAGAGGTTCTTGAATTGATTCATACCAGCATTGATGAAGAGCAGCGTGGGGTCGTTGTGCGGCACCACCGGGCTGGACGGGGCAAACGTGTGTCCCCGCTGCTCGAAGAAGTGCAGGAACTCCCGCCGAACACGGTTGATGGGCCACTCTGTCATAATTAGTTGTGCCGTTCGCGTTTTGCTGAAGTGCTTGATTTAAGTGAAGCAACACACCTCACTTGCACGATAGAAAATACACAGCAAGAGAAGCAAGGAAAAAGAAAGGCAAAAAAAAAAGAATGAAGCACAAACAAAGGGAAAGAAATAATAATAATAATAATAACGGAATCAAGAATGCAAAGCATAACCAGGAAGTGAGTGGAGGACGCGCTGTATAACGCGGCACGTGTTTCCGTCTACACGAGAGTTTTGCCTTGTTGCGGTTTGTTCACGTTGTTGTGTTCCCTCCACCAAACCCCGCAGCCCACCCAATCACAGCAACAGACGGAACAGATACACGGCACCTGCAGCACAGCCCACGCCACCCACCACGGTAGCAACTACAAGACGGGTAAGCCTGGAGCCCGGCTGCCGCCGCATCCACATCACCGTGGTGTCCACCGACGACTCCAACTCGGCGAGGGTGCCGTTGTTGCGGATAACGCGATCAGCGCGTCGGCACTTTTCCGCAATCGGCATCTGTGCGCGTATCCGCTGCACCGCCTGCTCCCGGGTGAAGCCGTTGCGCTTCTCAAGGCGAGCAATCTGCTGGGCCTCATCGCACGCCACTACAACTGCGGCGTCAATAAACCATGTGTATATATTCGACTCGTACAGAAGTGGCACATCAAGCACCACAAGCGGCGGTGCTTCGCCCTCTAGTGTTCGCCGCCACATACTTCGCCACCACAGCCGCAACAACTTCGTCGTGATGGCGACAAAAATGGGGAGATTCATAATGTTTGTCAACTCGCGGCGTGCCTGTGCATCGCAGAATATAATTTTACCCAGGGCAGTACGGTTAATCTCGCCTGTTTCGGTGTCCACGCACTCGGGCCACCGCTTCGCAATCTTGCGCGTGCACGGTTTCCCTGGGCACTGCAGTTCCCGCACCACCTGGTCCGCATCGATGACGGTGAGTTGGTACCGGTCCACCAGAAGCGCCGACACGGTGGATTTCCCACACGCGATGCCTCCAGTGAGGCCGATTAGTATCATGCAAATCTGCCACTACGCGGGGACACCGAAGCACCAGACTTGGCATGAAGCCCCAAGCAAGGAGGGAGGGAGAGAGAGAGAGACAAAGAAAAAAAAAAGAAAGAAAAAAGAGGGCCAAACGATTGATTGTGTATGTGTTATCTTTGTGTGGGCATTAAAGGCAGCCCACAGGTGCAATAAGCCGGCACTGCGAGGGGTTGCAGTGAGACCAAGGTAGAGAGAGAATAAATTGAGAAAAATGAAAACAAGTACAAACTCATCATGCATGTCAAAGAGTGACAGGTCGACAACCGAACCTTCACGCCTTCGCCGCCTTGGGTGCCTTCGCCTTGCGGGCAGCGCGAGCCTTCTCGATGCGCTTCTTGGCCGCCGGCTTGCTGTCGATCTTCTTGGCGTTCTTCAGCAGCTTCTTGAGCGCCACCTTGTGCCACGAGACGGGGTTCTTCTTGTCGTTCTCGTCGAACATCTTGCGCGTCCAGAAGGCGCGAGAGCGCTTCGCCACGCGGAGCTGGTAGCGCTCAAAGTCGGTGGAGGTGGCGAGGGCCTTCTTCGCGGCGATGCGGGTGGCGGCCTTCGTGACGGCGTACTTCTCGAGCGTCTTCTTCTCCGCGAGCTTCTCCTTGAGCGCCTTGCTGCTGCAGTTGCGGCTGATGGGCACGTTTAGCTTGAGCGGCTCGACGTTCTTCAGGTTCTGCACGTGGCGCCACATCTTCTCATCGGACGGGTTCTCCACGAGGATGCGGTTGCTGTCGATGATGTCAACAATGACGCCGACGCGGTCCTGACGGGGGCCACGGATGATGCGCACCAGACGGCCGGCGCGGATGTAGTTCGCGTTCACCATTTGGGACCTCTTTTGACTACAGGTGGTGGTGAAAGAAGGAAAGAAAGAAAGAAGAGTGTGAATACATATACCATCTGCAAGTGCCCGCCTACATGTTCGTGCATTCAGGTCACTCTGCATCAACACCCGGACTGGCAAACTGAGTGAATATTCACCCGTATGAACGCATGCAAATCGCACGCACACACACACACACACACACACACACAGACACACCAATACAAACACACGGCCGTTTTAGCTCGCAAAAAAAAAAACGGAGTGAGTCATTCAGTAAGTGATAGATAAGGCGATTGAGTGCGGTATGAACCTCTTTGCTACACTTCGAGAGGGAGCTCCGAAAATGTGATGTACGCATCTGTCATCAAGAGGCTCGAGGTATACATGGCATCATACAAGGAGTACGTCTCGTATACGTGGAATGCAAGCTGGATACCCACCTGCGGGCGTGTACGATCGAGGTGGTGGAGGGACAGCAGCGCGGCGCCAATAGGCGTCTCGTCGCCGTCATGCGGCCGTACCTCTGTAAGATTAAGTCGCAAAAACTGCGTGGCACCGGCACCAGGCCACTTCCGCAGTACGAGCTGATCGTCCCACCGCAAGGTACCGCTGACACTCTGGTAGCTGGGCTTTGTCTCGCCTGTCACCACCTGCCAGCCCTGCTGATCCAGCAGCGTGATGCTCACCTGAAACGACGGTGAAACGCCCGTCAGCACCTCGTACACCATCGGCAACCCGCGAATAGTGCCGAGGTTGATCACGCATTGACACGTCTTCTGTGAGAGATTCAGAATAGGACCGTCGAAGGCGAAGCATCGGCCAGAAGCTGAGAGCTGCCGCGATCCACTACTGGACTGCGCGAGGGCGAGGCTCTTAAGGTTGGGGTCCATCCACGACGCTGACGCGGGTGGTGGTGCTGCTGCCGCTGCGCTCAGTGCAGTGATAATGGGAACGCCGTCTGCACGCACCAGCACATTCTCCCCCTTATCCTTGTCAAGCGCGACAATGACGCCCTCCGAACCTAGGCCAGCCGCACGCCCATTCGCAACGAAGCGGAAGACAGGTAAAAGGGCAACCACCAATGGGAACTCCTGGGAAAAGGAGAATTGCCTGTTTGTGGCGCACGTTGAATTGAGCCAATAGTGATACGGCGTGTCTGTTGTTTTGGGTTGTGGTGGGGAGTTATGTACAACTATCATGATAGGTGCAGAGGGAGGCTGTGAGCCGTTAACGACGAGCTGCACCTGCAATTTTTTCATGCATGCCCGCTCTGACATGTTCCACGTAGCGCTAAAATACACACGTTGTTGGGGATTTACCGTAATAACGTGAGCCGGTTCCACTGAGATGTAGTCGCGTGCATCCTGTACAGGTACTAACTGCATAGCAAGGGCGCTGTTCTCTGTCATATTCATTGCACAAATCACGTTGGAAACGATATAATCCCCGTCGCCAGTGAGCATGAACGACGGGAAGTAGAAGTCAAGTGTCGACGCACGCACCGATCCAAAGTTGTACTCCAGTGGTGCGAAACCATCCTCAGGGTGCCCATCCCATGTGCTGCTCCGTATTTCCGCCTCGATCATGGCGTACACCGTCTCGGAGTCGATTGTAGTCTGTGTCGGAAACAAATGTACGCAGTACTTGGCATATTGTCGCCGCTCTGTCATCATCGCGGCACTGTTAAGCATTCCTACCCCGTATGACGCTCGTGTGTTATCTCCCCCCACGACCTCCAACAGAAGCATCGGTCCCTGATGGTTGGGAATGTCAAAGACAGCCGTGTGATGCTTGCCGTCCTTGCTACCGCCCCAGCTGATGCCCGTCCACCCACCATTGGTTCCGATCGGCTTGAGTGTGGTGGTGCCTAGGTGCTCCGCCTCATTCATCACACGCACGCCAATAGGCTGATCAGATCCCCACTGCTTCTTTGCACGCGCTAGCCACTGTCCTGTTTCCTCCGCTGTGTCAATGAAAACAAGCCGGTTAATATATAGCCTGTACCTTTCATCATCGTGCTCGGCCGGGTACACCCAGAATGACATATTCGTCACGGTTGCGGCGCTCATCTTCCTCGAGCGTCACCCCTTCTGCTGTTCTTCAATTGCAACACACTATATGGCAGCAGGGGGTGGCGCTGACGAAGGGCTCAAGAACCAGTGGCGAAATCTTTTTCTTCACCACTGTAATCTGAAGATGTGGAAGAGTGAAAAAGAACATGGGAATATGTGAAGAGAAAAAGAGAGCAAAAAATGGTTGTGCCGGCCGTGAGGCAGACATAATACAAGAAGTCATAGCCTCAAAAGTATATATATATATATGTGTGTGTGTGTGTACGTGCATTGTCAGCAGGCTACAGCTCACTCAGACTTGCCTACTTGAAACACAGGAAGCATTGTCTTGAGCAACGTGAGTTCTTCTGCTGCGCACGGCCGGTTGGTGATCATTGTGGTGTTAACCCAATAATGAAACGCCGCGTTAGTGGCAGATGCGCGTGGCGTCTCTCCAAACATTTGAATCGCCACCGGACGCAGTTCTTCCCCCCCTGCTACTAGCATCACATGCATCTCAATTGGCACACCTTCCTTCGTGGAGGCAGCGAACTTCTTGAAAACATCCCAGGTAGCAACAAAGTAGGCCTTTTCACCTTCTTTGAGCACTACTTTCCCTGGTGGTTGTACACGGACGCAGCTGCTGTTACCTGTCACTGCTAACTGCACGGAGACCATGTCCGTGGTGATATTTTTCACACAGAGGACGTTCGACACCACAAAGGCACCAGTCCCCGTGAGAAAGCATGTGGGAAAAAGGAACTGCGTTGTAGACACATCCACTACATCGCAATGGATGGAAGTGGGGATGTCATGTAATAAGTACTCACTCTTGCCAGACTCCCGGGTGGCAATCTCGTTGTGGGTAACTTCAACCTCTAGCACCGCATGCACGGTTGCATCATCTACTGCACAACATTTCGGCACCAACGACACACGATACCATTGTACCATTCTATCTTCTACAAATGCTGACTGGATATCCAAAACGCCAACTCCAACAACTTTTCCTGTTAGTGTAATAGCGTCCACAGCCAAAAGTGTTGACGGTTCCTCTGACACTGTAAAGGTGAAGCCGCCTTCTGAAAAGCTTTGGCCACTGCACGCCCCATCTTCGACCGAAGTGGCTTCCCCAGCTGCATCCCAGTTCAATCCCCACCAGTTCCCGTTACGAGTATGATGCTCAAACGGAAGGGGAACGGTACAACCGATCGCGATATCATTTGAATTCTTGATGCGTATCGCAATAAGATCATTGGTGCACCACTGCTCGTGGGCGCGCTTCAACCAGAGGGAAACATCCTCCGCTGACTCTATCATTGTCAGGCGCCTCACACGAAGGCTTCTATGCGACATCTTGGTGACTTTTCGGCGGAACCGAAGCAAAAAAAAGGGTGAATAAGCAGTCATTTGGGAAGCGCATAGAGCGGTAGCTGAAGAAGCACACACACACACAAACTGCAAACTGCAACAATGGTAGAAATAAAGACGGGCAACAAGCACTCGCATACGTAAACACAAAAGGTGGTGGCATTTACCTGGGTCTTTATCACCACCTGTCCTCATCAATAACCAGCTCACCCGCTTGGGCAACAATAACATCGTCACTGTCGTCATCATCATCATCATCAACAACATCATTAGCTTTAGCATTACTGTCCTCCTCCTCTTCGTTTGTGTCCGTGTTATTATCTTTCTCTGATTTTTGTCCGTCAAGTTGACCCTGCCGGAGTTCCTCACCCTTCTGAAATGCTCCGAGTAGACGCGCCCCACCGTAGCGATTAAAAAGAGCCAATTCTCCAAGTTCAGCAGCAGCACGTTTCATCTCCTCCTCTGTCAGTTGAAAATCTTCGAAATCATCCATGGTTATCTCAGGTGCTTCTTCCTCATCAACAGAATCATCAGCCCAGTAGCTGCCACCGCGGTTTGCAATGGACATTTCGGTTCGAGCATTCTCTCCAGATGCCATTGTGGTGTTATCTGGAGTTTTTCCCACATCTGCACCTGTGCCCTCCTTTAGAGGATACCCAACGGTGTATGCGAGAGCCTGTGTCAACTCCTCGGGGAAGAGATCAGCCCGTACCTCTTTAATGGCCAATGCGAGATAATAGTCCATGCATTCTCTTACCTCACGTACTGCCAACGCCACAGGCATGGAGGTGATGTATATCTTCTTATCCCCATCAAAAAAAAGCGCTGCATGCGTTTTCATTTCTTCTTCTGTTTCTAAAGTGAACGGAAACGCAGGCCCCATCTTGCTTTCTTCATCGTTGAGGAACGCAGGTGGTACTTCAGAGAGTGGCCTTACTGTGAGCTCGCGGAGACACAAGGCTGTTTCCACAGGTGTAACCGAAGTGGCATCAAAAAGTGTCAGGTTCGCCTCAAGTTGCATGCGCTCATTGTAGAAAACAAACGCTCGGTCAGCGAAAATGTCCTTGTTCCGCATTGCCAAAACAGACCCCATAGTAAACTGTGCATTCTTGTTGTCCCAGCAGAAAACCTCGGGTCTTTTCCTGTTGCGCGCCGCCCGATATTCTATGGACGCAATTCGAGGATACAGCGACCAAAGAGCAACCATACGAATGAGCCCCACATTGTTGGAGTGTCGAGAAGCCACCCGCATGGGATCCTTAATTCTTCGTAGCAATGAAGAGCCCTCCACGAGACGTAGTAGCTGTCTTCGAATGCGGTCCATGGAGCGCAATGTGGCGTGATCTGCAAAATGTTGTACAGCGTAGTCTTCAGAGCAATTGGCTTTCTTCCACCCATTAAAGAGATTCATGGCGCATATGTGGTCTGATAAAGAACCGTCATCAAAAGTATCCATTGCTTGCCGTAATCCGTTCTTTTGGTGAGGCAGCGGCTTGATAAATGGAGACTTTCCAGAAAGATATGCTGAAATTGTTGCAACAGGCTCCAGTACCCCCAAACACGCAGCTGCAAGCAGCATCTTTCCCAAGAGTGGATGAATAGGTAGCTTTGAAAGTGCCCGGCCCAGACTGGTTAATTGCTCGTTTTCATGCGTAAGCGCACCCATATCCCTCAAGAATCTAACGGCATGTTCTGTTGAATTCTCAGGCGGTGAGTCAAGGGCACGACTCAGCACCTTCGCACAAGCTTCGTCGGGCTTCAAGGCTTTCACCTGCAAACAAACCTCCTCTAGAGGCGTCCTCATGATTTCTGGTAAAAGAAAGTCAGGTAAGGCATTGTACGCTGACTTCGGAAGGAGGTGAACACACATACCCGCCCTACAACGTCCAGCCCTACCACGACGCTGGAGACCATTGGCCTTACCAATGTAGGTGGCCTTCAAAGAAGAAGTGTTTCCAGTGGGGTCGTAAGATGTCCCCTTTGTTAAACAGCTGTCAATGACGTAAACAGTATCATCAATTGTAATACTTGCCTCTGCAATGTTAGTTGAAAGCACTACTTTGCGATACCGCTTGGGAGGACGATAAAAGACACGTTGTTGTTCTGCTGCTGTTAAACTTGAGTGAAGCTGTAGAACAGATAATTCTCTAGCAATGGGAGAACGTTGAATCATACTGGAGACGCGGCTAATAGATGCCCATCCTGGAAGAAAAACCAATATGCTCTCAGTTAAGTCCTTGGAACGTCCATGAATGTATGCAATCAGCTTGAATACAAGTTCATAGGGTACAAGGGCTTCTGGGTCACGGTCTACTTCCTGAAAAACACGGTCTTTTATTTGTTCGTAGAGTGCCCACTTATCCCCCGCATCCCCATTGGTTTTTTCACCCTTCTTTTCAGAGGCAGGAGCTAGCAAAGACATAGCGGGAACGGCGGAAGGCGGCATGTTAACCCACTTCAAGGCATCTTCCAAAAAATGCTCTTCAACGGGAAACAAAGTTCCTGGTATGCTGATGACAGGTAGTGTTTTGCCGGCATTCACCTTGCCGAAGTAAGATGTCACTTTCTCTATCTGTACAGTAGCAGACATAACTACCACTTTTACATGATTTTTGTACGTTTGACTGTTTCTCTGTTGTTCCAATAGTCTGTCACGGAGTAACAATAGGCAGAAATCCGTCTCTACATCTCTTTCATGAACCTCGTCAACGAAAACACATGAAACACCAGTGAGCTGTGGATCTGTGTGCAGACGACGCAGCAATATACCGGTTGTCATGTAAACAATTTTGGTATTTGAACTTGTCATATTGTCGAAGCGGATAACATAGCCGCAGCTATCACCGCAGGCCTCACCACGTTCCTCTGAAACACGATGTGCGACAGAGAGTGCACTTATTCTTCGAGGCTGTGTGCAAATTATCTCCAAATCTTTTGGAAAGACATTGGCATCGTACAACAATTGAGGTATCTGAGTTGTTTTACCACATCCCGTATCTCCACTAACAATAACGACATTGTTATTTCTAACAGCAGCAACAATTTCATCTTTTCGTCTGTACGAAGGTAATGAGTGGCGGAATTGTTGCAATTCTTCGTATCTTTGAGGTGAAACATTCCCCTTCGGCACGCTGTTCAGACCCGGCTGCGCAACAGCCAAATGGCGGGTTCTTGATGTCTTAGTGACTGTCGCCTTCAAATGTTTGTACATTTTCGTAAGAAGAGGTTTTACTAAACCCCTGATCTCATGTACTTTTTCCTTTACGTAATCATCAGGAAGCATTTGAGCCCCTTGATACCCATCTATTGTTTTCACACGAATTCCATCTAGAGCTGCCACCTCTTGTTGTTCTCTTTGTTCTGTTATGCTCCCAATTTTTCTTAGTGTTAATACGCGTTCCGTTTTACTTCCCGACGACTGATGGTGTAAATTGAAATTCAGCGCAGCCTGGTGCACCATATGGCGTTCCGCTGCCGTCAGTGTTGGGGGAAACGACATTTCGCTGGCATCGGGATTATCCACAAAAGCCTTCACCATGGCGTAAAGGTTCTTTTTAGTCCAAGGGGATTCTTCATTAGAGCCAGATGCCTTTGGCACATTCTCAAAATTGATAGGAACCTGGTTACGTGGAAACCGCACCGGAGCATTCTCGTAATTATTCCCGCGGTGTGCCCCGCCCGCGCGACCTCTGTTTCCGGCCGGGGCTCTCTGAGTCTGTCGAAGGTCAGGTGCAGGTGCCTGAACAACAGGCTGAAAGGTGGGCTGATAATACACTTGTGCAGGTGTATAATAAAATGGAGCAGGCTGAAAACCCGGTTGGACAAAACTGTTCTGGTAAGCACCAGCCTGCAACACCTGTTGAAGCTGTGCGACGTGAAAAGCAGAGCCACCGGAAGAAACACTGACCAGAGGCCTGCCCGGCTCCTGTGGCGGTGCCCTGTTTCTGCGCGATCTTCCAGACGGCATAATTCCCAGATCAAATCAGTGCTTTGTAACCCTGAAAGGAAGCACATAAAGAAAAAAGAAGGAAAGAAAGAACATTATTAGCATCTAAAGCATGGTAATGTTGTGAGAACCTCTAGTCACGTAACAGCATAAAGCACAGACTACATCAGACACTGGAAGAAATGAAGCAAAAATGAGGATCGCACAATCACAAATCACCTAAAATATCCCCACTTGCGTCGTTTACCTGTGAACTACGAAACTCTTCTACGGCATGTTGTAGCTCCTCAAGAACTAATGAATCATTAAGACTCTCATCGAGAGTTTGGTTTCTTCTGATATCAGAAGTAACTATCTCACGCAAAACGACATCCTTCCAGACGTTAGTACCGGTTTTATAAGATGTTACCATGATTTCGAGAGCAGCAAGATTGCCATACATCCACCTGCTTAGGCCAACATCAGCTGCAATAACACTATCATCACAAAAAGTCTCCACATGCCCAGAACGCTGGGGTGTGTGACCCACTACAATTCGCTCAGCTCCAATAGCTAAAAGCATCTTTTTAATGTTTTCACAGTGTCCATTTGAAGCCTCCATTATCATTTGCCGTGTCCATAACGGACCAGAACTTCCAAGAATAGGATGTCGATGATTTCCCTCCCGGATAGCCTGTTTTGCCTCTTTGTTTAATGCTTCAACTCCCATTAAAGCAAACATCTCATTAAGCCCTGCATGAACAAAGACAGTGTCTGCATCAAGATGAAGAACTTCAAACCTGTCAAGAAGAAAACGTCCAAAAATACCATTCAGCTCAAATGCTCGCTTACGCAGGGTCTTCGTCAAAAATCCTCCCATTGACTCTGGGTGAACATAGTAAAACTGTCCCTGAAGGTTGAGCAACTCGTGATTGCCCAAGAGGAGAACCATATTGTCATTGGTATGATTAGCATCGACCTGATCCGAGAGTGAAGACGCTATCTCGAGCACCTCCAAGTCTTCCTCCCCACGATCCACCAAATCGCCCAGCTGTATTAGAGTTGTTCGTAGCCTTGTGTGATGTAACGAGTGTAATTCAATCTCTCTATCATCCCATTTCGGCTTCCATGCCACGTGTTTGCTTTCTTTTGTGGGTTGGCTTACGAGACCCGCCATGGTCAAAATCTGTCGAAAATGGTGAGCATCCCCATGGACGTCTCCAATAACAACAATACGGTGAATCTCATTTGGTACAACGTTATCTCTCAGCGTACCCGCCTGGCTTTCTCCGTGACATATACTCAACAGAGAGCCAAAGATAAGAAGAGCCAAAAGTCCAACTGAACCTTTCATTGCAGTACCTAGAAGCACGTGAATCTCAGCCAACGAAAATAAAGATCACCGCAGAGTTGAATAAGAGGACAAAGTGTAAAAAAAAAAATCGCGTGAATAAAAACAAGACAAGACGATAGTTCACCCATCCCAGTCGCAGAAGCGAACGGAAATCACCTAAGCCCCACCCCACCAAGTAAGAAAGTAAAAAACAAAAATGTTCAGCAGCCGTCACTCTCAAAAACAAAGACGCCTCAGACACCAGGCAGGAAATGCCAACAGAAAAACAAGCAACAACGCTAGACGACAAACTCGTTGGACAGACCCTTCGAAACCCCGCCCCGCACCCACCACACGGCCCCACCGCGCGGTAGCGCCGACCCGGGCCCGCGAGGCCCACCGGTTCGGAGATTACAAACACAAATGCGCATTTTTAACAAC